AATGTGCAGATCTCTCTCTGATAGCAAGCGCCGCCCAAACTGAGAGCATGTAACTTCCACGAGGATTTAGGAGGTTTAACTGTCATCCTGCATGGAAGGTTCATGGAAGGCTAACATGACTGCATGTTGTTGCCCGGATTCTGTCATCCTAGGAATTCTCACAGCGGCATCTAGAAGAGACTAGGGATTTGTCCAGGGATATTGGTGCTTGGGATTCAGTCCAGAACAGGGGTCGGTAAATGACAGACAGCCTGCAGGTCAAATCTGGTGCGTCACCTTTTTCTGCACCATCTGCAAGTTTGGAAAGGTTTTTACTTTTATTTTTGAGCTTTATTTTTTATTTTTTTGCAATACTTGAGAAGAAATGAAAAGAATAACGTTTGTGATGTGTGAAAATGATACAAACTCGTGCTTATGTATTATTGTTCACGGCTGCTTTTTGCTATGGTAAATCTGGCACTGCCGAAGTGGCCAGAGAAACTGCATGCGATGCTCCTGCTGTTTCTCACTCCTGTACTGTTTTACATCTCGGAAGTGCAGTTATGGCTTAATTTATTTTTTGCCCAACTGAGCAGAAAATATTTAGTATCTGGAACTTTACAGAGAGAATTTGTCAATCCTTGACCTATTGGCTTCACTCTACTTAAATAGTCAAGTTGCTTACGTTACATATCAACAATTTGGCAGATACAACATTTGTAATATTCTATTTTAACAAGTTATTAATTTTATCAATGAAAAATAATTTCTGACCTACATTGTGCTAATTAGAAAATCGTCCAGGTGTGACTATGGCATGAAGATTAGAAAGTGCGACAGCTTCAGTTAGGGCTTTGGAGACAACACTTTGCTAGGGTAACAGACCTAGCCGGTAGTTTACATGGATATACACAGGAAAATGGGACCATGTCAGTAATGCTCAATCTTGGCTTCCCTTTGGCATCATCTGGAAGCCTTTAAAAACATCTTTGTTGGGCCAGAGATATGGCTTAGTGGCACCTCACCTACCTGAGGTTTAAGCTTCTGAGTTTGATCCCAGGTACCAAAAAAGAAAAAGCATCATTGTCTATGGTATCCCTCTCTTCTGTAAAATTAGAAACTCTGGTAGGATCCAGATGTTGGAATTTTATGAAAAGTTCCCCAGGTGAATTAACTGAGCTCTATCATGGCTTCGTGGGTGTGTCAAAGGTGAAATATATATAGATGCACATCTGCTGCCATTAGTGGTTTGTGGCAACATGGATGGACCTCGAGGACATGATGTTATAGTTAGTAGCAGATAAATCCAAGATTCTAACCTCATTGGTGATGACTCCAAAGCTTCACCTTTAACCAGGATCCCACACTACTGCACCATCTCCAACCTCCAAAAGAAAGCCCATCAGAAGTGCGACAACTACCAGCTATTTAAGAAAACATTTTTATCTGATTGGCTCATCTCGTTCTAAACTTGACCTTAGCCTAAAGGCTGAGTAGAGATCATCATCTCATTCTAATTTAGGGGAAAAATAATTTTTTGTTAAAAGATGAACTACAGTCATTTTAGCTAAAATCTTAATTTTGTTTCTCTACCTATTTGGATTTTTGACATCTTAGCCAGAAAATTACAAACTTTGGGTTGCACCTTGGTTATAGTGAGTGTTTTTAGAGGTGAGCTCTTTATATAGTGTTTTTATTTGCATACTGAGCATGCCAAATAAAGCCACCATGCCCCTTCCTTTTGTCTGTAATCAGTCTGTATTCACAGAAGGGCTTCTTGTTAAACAGCACAGTTAAGGAACACACATGTTCACTCTGTTGCTACCATTGGTGTCTTATGAAGATTTAAAAAATGTCTTTCTTATTGAGATTTCATTATCAGGGCTTCAATCTACAAAGCTTTTGTAAGTAAAGGACTGAATTAGTTATTTTCCCATTGCTAAGACACAATACTTGACACTCAAACATAAAGGAGGATAGGTTTACTTTAGTTCACAGTTTGGGGAATTCAGTCTATAGTCAGCTGGCTCTAAGACAGGAACATCATGGTGGAAGGGCATGGTAGGGCAAAGTTGCTTAGTTCTTGGTGGCCAGGGAGCACAGCAGGAGACCAATGCCAGAAAAGGAGCCAGGGGCCAGATTGAGTACCCAAGGCCACACCTCCACAACCTACCCAAATGCATCCAGGAGCTTGCTTTACTGATTTGCTAGACATATTCTTGTTTTTGCATATGTAAACAATTTTTCCCTTTTATTAGTAGTAGGCTACTAATGTATTTTACCCATTCTTCTACCAGTGAGCAATACACATTTTTCAGCTTGGGGTAATTGTAAATAAAACTACTTTGAATGCAAACAATTCAATGAAATTTTAAAAATTCATGATCAGAATTTAAAATTCAACAAAAAGTTAGTTATCATAAAAAATCCAAACAAATCTTGCAGCTGAATAATGAAGTGAACAAAATAAAAAATACACTTGAAAGTCACAACAGACTATTCACTAGATGAAGAATTTATGAACTTGAAAATAGATCTTATGATTTACCCCATTCAGAAGAAAAACAGATCTTAAAAAATGAAGAAAACCTATGAGACATATAGAACATCAAGCCAATATTCACTTTATGGGAGTTCCAAAGAGAGAAGAAATGAAAAGGGCCCAGAAAGTATATATAACAAAAAAATAGCTGAAAAATTTTCAAATGCAGTGATACCTCTATTTATGAATTTAATTCGTTCTGTGATTCTGATAGCAAATTGAATTAGATGAGAACTGAATCTAATTCAGTGGTTAGATTCAGTGTTGATCTTCTGGGGAAATTTGACTTGATTCTTGTTTAATTTGATTTGTAATCAAAATTGTGAAAAGAATCAAATTCATGAACAGAAGTACCACTGTATTAGGAAGAATATGGACATTCGGATCTACAAAGTTCAAAGAATCCCAATTAGCCTCAACCCAAAGAGATCCTCTCCAAGGCACATTATTATCAAAATGTCAAAGTGTAAGACAAAGAGAGAATTCTAAAAGCAGCATGAGAAAATGACAAGACAGATATGAGGAAACCCTTGTTAGACCAACAGATTTCTTAGCAGAAATCTTGGAGGCCAAGAGAAAATGGAATGATATATTAGGAATCCTAAAAGAAAAAAAAAATGCCAATCAAGAATACTGCACCCAGGAGTAGGAAGAATCAACATAGTGAAAATGGCCATACTACCAAAACTGCTATATACATTCAATGCAATGCCAATTGAAATTCCAACACTATATTTCACAGAACTAGAAAAAAGAATCCAAAAATTCATTTGGAACCACAAGAGACCTAGAATAGCAAAAGCCATTATAGGCAACAGTCACATGGCACCAGGTGTAACAATTCCCAATTTGAAACTATACTACAAAGCCACTGTGATAAAAACAGCATGGTACTGGCAAAGAAATAGGCCTGAGGATCAGTGGAACAGACTGGAAGACACAAAAACAAATGCAGATGTACTCAGCTACCTCATCTTCGACAAAGGAGCTCACCATCCTCAGTGGAGGAAAGATAGCCTCTTTAATAAATGGTGTTGGAAAAACTGGATATCAACCTGTCACAGATTAAAATTAGACCCTTATCTTTCGCCATGCACTAAATTAAAATCCAAATGGATTAAAGATCTAAATATTAAAACAGAAACATTAAACTTGCTGGAAAGTAAGTTAGGCAGAACTCTGGAAGACATTGGTATAGGAAAAGACTTTATGAACAAATCCTCAGTAGCACGGGAACTAGCAGAAAGAATCAACAACTGGGATCTCATCTTACTAAAAAGCTTCTGTACTTCAAAAGAAACCATTAGCAGAACTAAGAGACAATCTACAATGTGGGAAAAAATTTTTACCAGCTGTACCTCAGACAAAGGACTATTATCAAGGATATATAAAGAACTCAAAACAATCAGTCCCCCCAAATATAAAGACCCGATCCAAAAATGGGCATCCGAAATGAACAGACATTTCTCATACAAAGAAGTAAAAGCAGCAAGAAAATATATGAAAAAATGTTCCACATCACTGGTCATTCGAGAGATGCAGATGAAAACAACACTGAGATTCCACCTCACCCCACAAAGAATGGCTGCTATCAAGAAATCACACAATAACAAATGTTGGCGGGGTTGTGGGGAGAAAGGAACCCTCCTCCATTGTTGGTGGGAGTGCAGACTAGTGCAACCACTATGGAAATCAATATGGAGATACCTCAAAGAGCTTGGACTGGAGGTTCCATTTGACCCAGCCATCCCTCTGTTGGGTATCTTTCCAAGAGAACTAAAAGAATCATATCACAGAGAAGTATGTGCACCCATGTTTATAGCGGCACAGTTTGTAATAGCTAAATCTTGGAAACAACCTATTTGCCCATCCGTTGGAAACTGGATAAAGAAGTTGTGGTTTTTCTATAAAATGGAATATTACTCAGCCATAAAGAGCGAGAGAATAGATTCATTCATAGGAAAATGGATACATATTGAAGATATACTCCTAAGTGAAATAAATAAGTCCCACATGTGTAAATACCAAATAGTTTCCCTGG